CATGACCTAAGCCGAAACCAGGAGTCACGCACTTAACTGTGCCAATTAGGTGCCCCTATGGACTTCCTTATGTTGAGTTGCAATCTTGTAATTTTGATTTACTGATCTTTATAACGGAAAATAAGCCTATCCTTCTGACAGCTATTGAGGTATGTGAAGATTGTCATGGTGTCATTCACCACCACCCTCAATACCATACTTTCAGTAACATGGCAGTTAGCAGTTCAATAAGGAAACAGAAGACTTGAACAACAGTATAAACCAAATAGACCTACTGGAGATGTATAGAACACTCCACTGAACAATAGCAGAATTCGTATTCTTCTCAAATGCCCATGGAACCTGTTGCTGCTCCTCTGGAACCTGTCCTGTTTTCCAGGGTAGACCTTATGTTAGGCCACAAAAAATAGTTTAATAAATTTCAAAAGATTGACCTCACATAAAGTATCTTCTCTTATCACAATAGAATGAAGCCAGAGATTGAAAAAACAAACAGAAAGAAAACTGGAAATTTTACAAATACTTGGAAATTAAATGGCACACTCTTAAATAACCAGTGGGTGAAAGAAGAATTAAAAAGGATATCAGAAAATAATTTGAGGCGGGACGCCCGGGTGGCTCAGGATGTGACCCCGGAGTACGGGATCAAGTCCCACATCAAACTCCTGCATGGAAACTGCTGCTCTCTCTGCCTGTGTCTCTGCCTCTCTCTGTCTCTTATGAATAAATAAATAAAATCTTAAAAAAAAAGGAAAATAATTTGAGGCAAATGGCATTGAAAACACAACATATCAAAACTCATGGGATGCAGTGAAAGCAGCAATCAGAGAGAAGTTTATTGTAAATGCCTACAGTAAAAAGAAGAAAGATCTGGGGCACCTGTGTGGCTCAGTTGGTTAAGCGTCTGCCTTTGGCTTGGATCAAGATCTCAGGGCCCCATGTCAGGCTTCCTGATCAGCAGGGAGTCTGCTTCTTCCTCTCCTGCCTGTTCCTACAACTAATGCTCTCTTGTTCTTTCTCTCAAATAAAATATTGAGGAAAAAATCCCTCAAATCAATAACCTAACCTTACATTTCAAGGAACTAGAAAAAGGTAAATTATCTAATGAACACAGTGCTAAGTGGAGTTTGGAATACAACAGACACTTAATAAATGTTAGTATCTCACTGTTAAAAGGTAGAGGAGGGTCAGTAATACATCCTCCAGATTGAGAAGGCACTTTAACACTGAAAAATGAAGCAATCTACTCCATACCATTAACACAGAGTTTTATTCAGTCATTTACTGACAGGGTATTGGGCTAGCAGGTAGATGGAGGATCCAGGGTACTACACCACATTCTCCGCCCAGCTTGGACCTTGACCCACACTTTTATAGTACAAGGGGTATGGTGGTGTGGTCACAAGGTAGTTATCTAAAGTGATACCATCTGGTACTAGAGGATCTGTACTAGATCCCTTAAGTGGTACCACCTGTGTGCCCGAGCAGGCTGTCTACTAGTTTTCTAAGGTAGCACCATCTCTACACCAGAGGGGAGAACAAGATGGAGGGCCAAAGATGAAGCCAGTTTTGTCAGCAATCACACTACTAAACGTAATCATTGAAAGTACTTTAAAAATGAATGTAGGATACTTTTTACAGCATTCTTTCCATTTCTGCAGTTTGCTTTGATGGGTTAGGATATATCTGGGTTTTTTAACCTGTTTTTAAAATTGAGGTATTACAGGGACACCTGACTGGCTCAGTTGGTGGAGCGACTCTTGATCGTAAGGTTATGAGTTCCAGACCCATATCAAGTGTAGTGATTACTTAAAAATAAAATCTAGAAGTAGAAGTATTACACATATCCTGTGATTTCATCCATTTAAAATGTACAGTGTGTTTTAGTATATTCTCCAAGTTGTGTCTTCATCACATCTAATTCAAGAACATTTTTATAACTCTAAAAAGAAACTCCATACCCATCTGCTATCATCTAGTCTTAGGTGACCACTAATCTATGTTCTCTCTTGATGGATTTGCCTTTTCTGGATGTTTAATGTAAATGGAATCATACAATATGTGGCCTTTTATATGTGTCTTTTATATAGTGTAATACTTTCAAGGCCATTTCTGTTATATCCATTTCCATTCCTTTTTATTGCTGAATTTTCCAAAGTATGAATATACCACATTTTGATTATCCATTCATCAGCTGGTGAACATTTGGATTGTGTCCACTTTTCTGGCCATTAGGAGTGATAGTGTTGTGAACATTCATGTGCAAGTTTTTGTTTGGACACTTTTTTTTATTTCTCTTAGGTACTACCTATGGTTGGAATTGCTAATTTATATGGTAGCTCTATGTTTAACTACTAGACTGTTACCAAAGTGGTTGCACCATTTTATTTTATTTTTATTTTTTTAATAAATTAATTTTTATTGGTGTTCAATTTACCAACATACAGAATAACACCCAGTGCTCATCCCGTCAAGTGTCCCCTCAGTGCCCGTCACCCATTCACCCCCACCCCTTGCCCTCCTCCCCTTCCACCACCCCTAGTTCGCTTCCCAGAGTTAGGAGTCTTTATGTTCTGTCTCCCTTTCTGATATTTCCCACACATTTCTTCTCCCTTCCCTTATATTCCCTTTCACTATTATTCATATTCCCCAAATGAATGAGAACATACACTGTTTGTCCTTCTCCGATTGACTTACTTCACTCAGCATAATACCCTTCAGTTCCATCCACGTTGAAGCAAATGGTGGGTATTTGTCGTTTCTAATGGCTGAGTAATATTCCATTGTGTACATAAACCACATCTTCTTTATCCATTCATCTTTCGATGGACACCGAGGCTCCTTCCACAGTTTGGCTATTGTGTACATTGCTGCTAGAAACATCGGGGTGCAGGTGTCCCGGCGTTTCATTGCATCTGAATCTTTGGGGTAAATCCCTAACAGTGCAATGCTGGGTCGTAGGGCAGGTCTATTTTTAACTCTTTGAGGAACCTCCACACAGTTTTCCAGAGTGGCTGCACCAGTTCACATTCCCACCAACAGTGTAAGAGGGTTCCCTTTTCTCCGCATCCTCTCCAACATTTGTTTCCTGCCTTGTTAATTTTCCCCATTCTCACTGGTGTGAGGTGGGATCTCATTGTGGTTTTGATTTGTATTTCCCTGATGGCAAGTGATGCGGAGCATTTTCTCATGGGTTGCACCATTTTAATCTCCAGTGTATGAGGATTCCAATTTCTCCACAGTGTCGCCATTATTATTTTTTTATTTTAGCCATCTGTGTGGCTGTGGAATATCTCATTGTGATTTTGATTTGCCCTTTCCTAATGACTAATTATGTTGAACTTATTTTTATGTGCTTATTGGCTGTTTGCATATCATCTTTGCAGAAATGTCTACTCAGATCTCATGCTCATTTTTTAACTGGTTTATTTTTCTGTTTGTTGAATTGTGAGAGTTCTTTATGTATTCTGGATATAATTCTCTTATCAGATATGCAATTTGCAAATATTTTTTCCTATTTTATGGATTTTCTTTTCACTTTCTTGATGATGCCCTATGAAGCACAAAGGTTTTTAATTTTAATGAAACCAATTCATTTTTTCTTTGGTTACTTGTACTTTTGGTGGCAGCTCCAAAACCATTACACAATCCAAGATCACCAAGGTTTATGGTTATGTTTTCTTTTAAAGGGTATAGTTTTAACTCATATTTTTTTTAGATCTTTGATCAATATTGAGTTAATTTTTTAATGTAATGAGAGGTAAGGATACAGCTTTATTGTTTTGCATGTAGACATCCAGTTGTCCTGACACTGTTTGTTGAAATACTATTTTCCCCCCTTTGAATTATCTTAGTGCTTGCCCAAAATTGATTGCTTATAAATATAAGGGTTTATTTCTGGACTATTCTATTCCATTGATCTATATTTCTATCCTATGCCAGTATCATAATGTTTCAATTACTGTAACTTACTGTTTTGAAGTCAGGAAGTATGAGTCCTCCAACTTTGTTTTTCTTGTCAAGATTATTTTGGTTCTTTGGAGACCCTTGCATTTCCATATGAGTTTTAGGATCAACTCTTACATTAAAAATAAAAGATACCTGGGATTTTGATGGAGATTTCCACGAAATCTGTGGATTAGTGTGAGAAATGTTGCTAACTTAATACTCTTAAATCTTCAAATTTGTGGACATGAGATTCGTTTCAATTTGTTTTCTTTAGTTTCTTTCAAAAAATTTTTTGTGTGAGTTCTCAATATATGTCTTACATTTCTTTAAATTTATTCTTAAATATTTTATTCTTTTTGTTATGTTGTAAATAAGATTTTTTAAAAAGATTTATTTATTTATCTTAGGGAGACAGAGAATGAAAATAGGGGGAGAGACAGGGAGAGAGGGAAAGAGAGAATCTCCAAGCAGACTTCCTGCTGACACAGAGCTCGATCCCAGGACCCCAAGATCATGACCTGAACTGAAATCAAGAGTCGGTTTTTCAAGTGGCTGAGCCACTCAAGTGCCCCATGAATGAGATTGTTTTAATTTTATTTTCATGTTGTTCATTGCTAATGTACAGAAATACAATTTATTTTCATATAAATTTATTGCATATTTGTATATTATGTCGCTGAATTCTTTGATACTTCTAATGGTTTTTTATGGATTTCTTGAGAATTTTCTATATACAGGATCAAGTTATCTGTGAATAGAAGCAGTTTACTTCTTCCTTTCCAATCAGGATGCCATTTACTTTTCTGGCCTAATAGCCTTAACTAGAACTTCTAATACACTGTAGCATAGAAATTGATGTGTTGCATTTTTATGAAAGGGTGATGGGGTATGAACTCTTTTTATATCCATTAAATTCACCACTTCAATATTGTGGTGGCTTAATGAAATTAATATCATATGTGTAGGACAGTAATTGGGGGTGTTATGATCATGTAACTTTTTTTTTTAAGTTGAGGAACACTTTAACAATGTCCTTGTTTTTTTTCTTTTAGGTTTTCTCAAATAATGATGAAGGCCTTATTAACAAAAAGTTACCCAAAGAACTTCTCTTAAGGTAAATGTAGATAAACTCTATTGAATTCAGATTTGATTCAGTCATCATGTTCCAAGACAATCTTCTTTCTCACTATGAGTCCATAGCATAGAAAAACAGACAGAATTAGCCTAACTGACTTTTTGTTTTTGTTTTATAGAATGCTGTTCAGCTTGTTGTTAAATTTTACTTGGTCTAATCCAGAATGTACTAAGTATGTACATAGCATTGGTCTGGATTCTTTTTGTAATGTGGTAAGTATTGTAATAATCTACAGTAGGTGCCATTGTTTTGGTATCAGTAGATATTCTCAATGTAGTCAATAACAGGATATTGAGCTCCTGAAGTCCCAGACATTTAGATGTTTTCTGATAAATCACTTTTAAAATAAGTACAGTTATATGTTCTTACTGAGAAGTTGAAATGCTCAGTCTAAATATTGATATATTTTTATCCATTTTGTGAGAATTATCTGCTCAGTGGCAGTGAGTACTATAAAACATGATTTTTGTCCTGTGTTTCTGGCATCACTGAATATACAGTAAATAGTATCTTGCTTGTCATTTTACCAAATAAACCTATCAACCAATGTTTGTTGATCCTGAGACACTACAGTTTCTTCTAGTATTCTGCAATCATCAGAGAAATCCAATTTTAGTTTTGGATGTTAGATTTTAATTATTTACAAGTAATTAATACATGTATACATGGCAATCTTTGCGTGGCATTTCCCAAACTCTTCTCATATCACTGATATTCTGCAAAACCAAACAAAATACAAGTTTTGTGATCAAATAATGATGGGAAGCACTGGGATAATGAAACCAATTTCTTTACTGCATGACTTCTCAGGACCTCGATAGGCTAGTTTGCATGATGATACTCCCAGATGGATAGTTGTGACAATTCAAACTTACCATGGAACCCTTATAATATTCCATATTAATTAATATTCCATATTAATTCCACATTCTATGGAAAAAGTTTTGGGAAATGGCTGACATACAGTAAGTAATTGACCAGATGACTCCATTCCCTTAGCTTCTTTGTGGTAGTGATCACATTTGAGGGGCTTCAGAGGTGTCCCATTAGTCATCAGGTATTGTTTGATATTGTTGCCATAAACTCATTTTATTCAGTTAATTAAAAAGAAAATTATGTCATGACAGGATCGTATGAAAAATACAACAACAATATTTCAGTAAAACAAATACTTATTTGGATAAGAGAGAATATTCTTTGGCCTTTTAGATCCTTTTAAAGTTAAGAAAGTAGTAACAAGAAAGGAATACTATGTTTTTCATATAAACCTAGGAGGTCTTGATCAAGCATAGAGAGCAGTTAGAACCCACATGGCTGGGTTAGGATGGGCAGTCTGTTACTGCACAATTGGAGGGGATGCCATCCACAACAGATGACAAAGTGCGCGGTGTTCTCTGGAGTTGTGCAGTGGTTCATTCTTGGTTGGAACATTTGATGTCTCTACAATAGACATCAAGCTGTAACATGAACATGTCATTCTTACTCTGGAGGATCTACCATTATTAGTCATTCAGCACTGGGGTGTGATTAAACTCCACTCTTCCCATAAATAATACTGCTATCTGCGACTCAGAGCTACTAACTTAATATTGTCCCCTTTTGTAGGGTTAGCTTTGACACTGTTCTCAGCCTTGGAACAGTTTCTGTCTGCTGACAAAAAAGGGGGGAGGCGTTATATCACTCTTTGTGCTAGTGTGATTTCTGAACTATTTTAGAAATTTTAGTTCTTTTAAGGATTCATGATAGACCCAGCTGTGTGAATCCTGCAGTTACAGGTTTTGAATCATACCACAAGGCTCATACATAGATCAATTTTCAAAAAGAATTGCCATTTGAGACCAAGTGTTCAAAATATGTCTATTCATAGGTTTGCATTCCCACTTCTCTTATTTTGGAATTTGTGAGCGGAATTTAAATTTTAAAGTATTGCTGCTACAGGTCTTCTTTGACTTGTGAGCCTCAAAATTAACTCCAGCTGCCCATGGTATTTTAATGTTTGTTTGCCTTTAAATCATCTCTGCCATTCTATTCTCATACTTTATGTTTTCAATAATAGTAGCTCTGCCCTTTGCTTTTGCTTTCTGAGCAAAATTTTGAAGAAGGGTTTGAGCCAAAGTAGCCATCTTTATCATCCTTGATGGAGCTTAAGTCTTGATTATTTTGCTTTGTGTCTGTCCTACGTTTACGTTTTTACTTCATACTATAGACTTCTCTGTGACAGTGCAAACTTTCTGTTCTTGTTGTATTCCTCCTATTTACCTTCGGTCTTACTTCATCAGTAGAGTTGAATTATTTGACTTAATGATAATCTTATTTACTTGCAGCAAGGTCATCTTGTCTCTGCCTTTTTTTTTTTTTTACTACATCTGTTACCAGGGACCCTCTTAAATTCTCTGCTGGGTCCCGTTACTGATTACATCAAGCAAAGCCTCAGCTTCCCCTTTGGAACTATTAATGAGCACAACCTGGAATTGCATGTTTCTTTTCATCTCTTCATATCACTTTGAATCCACTCAGAAAAAATCTCTGGTTTTTCATCTGACCATCTTATTTCTAGTTTTAGGACTACCCAATATTGTTTACAGTTTCTTTCTTTTTCTTTTTTTTTTTTTTTAGATTTTTATTTTTATATATTTATTTATTTATGATAGAGAGAGAGAGAGAGGGAGGCAGAGACACAGGAGGAGGGAAAAGCAGGCTCCATGCCAGGAGCCTGATGCGGGACTCGATGCGGGACTCGATGCGGGACTCGATCCCGGGACTCCAAGATCGCGCCCTGGGCCAAAGGCAGGCGCTAAACCACTGAGCCACCCAGGGATCCCCTGTTTACAGTTTCCATCTACCATCCCACTTTTAGTTTGTTGCTTAATAAGTTTTCACAATTTTGCTTTTTCTACACATCTTTCTTTCATAAATTAAGGGTACTCCAGTTCTCTTTACCCTTTATGTTCACACAATTCAATAGCTTGTAATTTTACTCTCCCTAGGGAGTCAGTTATGTAATGCTTATAACAATCAGAATCTTTACTTTGTTGAAATCTATATATCTGTTAGGGAGTTGGGTTGTCCTTATATATCCTCATTGTTATTGTATTACTTTTGGGGCCAGAGTTGTTTGAGATTTCAGCTCCTCCGTTTACCACTTGTGTGACCCTAAAATGATTTACCTCTATAAAATGGGGATAGTGATAGTTCTTACTGAACGGGGTTATGCTGGCTGTTAGAGTGCATGGCACTTAATGAATGCTAAATAAATGTTAGCTTCTATTGTTATTAATGAAGATCAATTTGGGACACCTGAATTACTTATTAAATGCTACTTGACAATGTAGTCAATTTTAATGCAAACAACTGATAAAAGCAAGCTGTCTTGATAGGGATCTCAGCATTTACTAGTACTAACAATCTCCGTAAAGAACCTGGTTAATAAGTTAATGTAACCGAGTGCTTGATTTCATCGCTCTGGTCTAATTCAGTCTCACTGGAAATTGTGCACTACCAAATGTTATTTAACTAACAACTTTTAGGGCTTAGGCAGGCTAATAATGGAGCTGTGATGACAACTGATGATTATATCATATTATAAAAAATGTAGTTCCTTACAGAGACCCATTCCTTTTTAAGGAAAATAAATCTTAGGTGAACTGAGTATTGGCCTAAAACTCAGACTGTAAATTTTATTTATTTTAAAGATTTTATTTATTCATGAGAGACACAGAGAGAAGGAGGCAGAGACACAGGCAGAGGGAGAAGCAGGCTCCATGCAGGGAGCCCGATGTGGGACTTGATCCCGGGACTCCAGGATCACACCCTGGGCGGAAGGCAGACGGTCAACCGCTGAGCCACCCAGGTGACCCAAGACTGTAAATTTTGATATTACCTTTTTGACCTTAGGTTTTATTTCTATCATGGTTGTCTTCAGATGTTGATGATGTAATGAAGACACATGTAAACTACCTCATAGGAGATAGGGAGTGCTGCATGTAGTAAGTATTTTAAAACATTCAGAGAGGACAAAGCTCTTGTTGGTAATAAATAATAATGAAAGAAACCTCTTATTAGACACATTTATAAAACCTTAAATCATCATTATTTGGGTCATTCTCTCTCCATGTAAAATTTATGTGGATACATGATGGAATTAAGTATTAATAGTATTTGTTGGCTTGGTGAAGGGAAGGTTTGATTGCCCTCAACAGGAAAGCTGAGCCTAATAATTTGGGCAAATGAAATCAACTATACAGTTACGTATATTTGGCAGTTTCACTAGTTTGCTAGGGAAAATTATGCAATGAATAGTGCAAAAATTTTCAAATTTTCCTTCTCTTAAAATCATAAACCAATTCCATGAGTGAAAATAATTGTGTGTGTGTGTGTGTGTGTGTGTGTGTGTGTGTTTAGAACAGAGGGAGGGGCACAGGGAGAGGGAGAGAGAGAATCTTTTCCTTTTTTTAAGATTTTATTTATTTATTCATGAGAGACAGAGAGAGAGAGGCAGAGACACAGGCAGAGGGAGAAGCAGGCTCCATGCAGGGAGGCCAAAGTGGAACTCGATCCCGGGACTTGATTCCAGGACTTGATCCCAGGACTCCAGGATCATGTCCTGGGCGGAAGGCAGGCGCGTAACTGCTAAGCCACTCGGGGATCCCCAATAATTGTGGTTTTTGTTGCAATCATTAAGTTACAGCCCAGTGCTTATGTGTAATTGTGGGACCTTGGGGAGCCATGCAGTGAAGGGCTCATTCCTGTTTGGTGTAGCATTGAGTGGGTGTTCTTACCTGCTGGTTGGTTTCAGCATTCCATGGATTTTTTCAAGGACTGGTGCGTCTACCTCCTGCTGTCTGTGATGCCTTATGTGTATTCCAAGGCAGCCTAATAGGTAAGATTCTCTTTTAGGGGATACATACTGCAAAGTCAAGTTAAAGCATCTGTGCAGATTTTTCTTTCTTGTTTAAGAATTTTTTTGTTTGTTCATCTTTATCATTTTTTCTTGTCTTGCATGAGGCAGTACACCGCTGACTTATTGTGTGTAGAAATCAGATGCAGAAGCTTAAAGGCCTTTTCATTACCTCTGTATACTATTATGTACTATTTTAGGGTTGGCATCTAAGTCCAAATCATGGCAGAAGTAAATTTTCCTTTGCCTGGGTTGGGGTAATGCTTATACATTAAAAGTCTAATGATGCCTTTGGATTTGCTGTTGGTTTTATTT